AGTTAGGTTACGTTACTAATTGCAAATGGCGTCCAACCGTAAGAAACTATTCCCTTGAGCGGATTCCCTCCCAATTAGGCGTCAGAATCGGGACCACTTTTATATCACGGAGTTCGATCTCCTTACTCTTACTTCGTGGTGCCGACCTGAAGCTCAATGTTACGGTGCAGACAATATAGTAGCCTCTCTCTCCAGCTGCTTTGTGCGCATGCGGTGAACATTCAAGCACGCTTGCGCATTTCTCTTTCTCGCGTTCTTTCTCTCACTTTCCAATGCTTTGTCTCGCTCGCACTTACTTGGTAGATGCGCCTGCGCATAATGACGCTCGACCATCTATGTCCATATTTGGACTTCGTGCGTCTCCCTTTCTCGGGCCTCGTGCCTCTCATTGCGAAGATACGCGACTAGCCACGGTTGATTATACGTCTATAGCTAGCACCATGAAGTAAGAGTAAGGAGATCGAACTTCATAGCGCGCCAATGAAAAAAGTGGTCCCGATTTTGACGCCTAATTGGGAGGGAATCCGCTCAAAGGAATAGTTTCTTCCGGTTGGACGCCATTTCCAAAACTACCACATGTACACATTTAGTATATGTAACTATATTTATGCTCCGAATCGTGAGATTTTTTTTAATGTAGAAATTTCTCAGCAATACAACAAAATAAAGTGATAAAAGATTTAGAAGTTTTCTGTTTTACGTGCATCGTGTTATAACGCTTTGAGTAATTGAAAATAAAATTATAGATACGCAAAATCGGACAAACAAAAAGGTTAATAATGAAAAAAAGTAACATTGAAAAATCAATAGTAAAAAAAACTATCATTTTCAGGCTCACGAGTATAATGGAAAGAAATTCAATGGAAATAAAACAAGCAGCAGATGAATTCAAGTATTTGCAAAAAAATTTGCATTTAGTTGAGCTGCCTTCTCCAAATTGGGGATTTACAACTGGAAACGACACATTTTTTGGTTTTGTGAAAACAGAAAGTGATTTAAGTGTCAGAAAAAGAATTGCTGCGTAATACTAATTAAAAACTGACAAAGCTGCGTTCCGTTTCACACACACACACACGCGCGCGCGCGCATATGCGCGCATTTATCTATACTATATGTCACGTGTACTATAGATAAATGCGCGCATATGCGTGCAACAGAACTCAGCCTAGGTCAGGTTACGTTACTTTGCAAATGGCGTCCAACCGTAAGAAACTATTCCCTTGAGCAGATTCCCTCCCAATTAGGCGTCAGAATCAGGACCACTTTTATATCACGGAGTTCGATTTCCTTAAGCTCCTTGCACAATGAAAAGAATAGCGATAGCAATAGAAATAACAGTTTTAGACACAGAATTCCAACTCGTCGGAAATTTTATCGCTATTGCTTATTCTGATTTTCTGATCTGCATTGATACATGTGTATTTTTGTATGTTAGATTCCGCTGTTCCTACCGTTATTTATAAATATAAACTCTTTACAACTGGGCTGTGTTCAGTTAAGCAAGATGGAACGAACTAATGCAGGAAATGCAGGAAATACAGGAATTGGAACTAATGAAACTAATGAAACTAATGAAAGAAGTGAAAATAGTAAAAAAAAAAGAAGGTTGGCTCCCCTGATCTGT